CCAAAGCAAAACATTTGTGTGCAACCAATGTCCACTACTGAATCAAGTAAATCCAACATGGCCTTTTTTTCAGTGTACACCAACAAGATGTGCCTCCCAAAAGCCCCAAAGCTCAACAAAAGAGAGAAATCCATAAATGATTCCAGGGGTCATGAACGGTTCATATGTGTAGAAATATGATATATAACCAGCGACAGTGTTGGTGTGTTTTATGATTATGAATGAACCACACTGTCTGGGTTTCTAGTTTCTTCATGGAAGCGTTAGTCTCCCTGTACCTACAACAATCGTGGAATTGCATGGCAGACTGTGTGATTATGATGGAAGCAAAACTAGTGACTGTCACATACCACAGCAAGTCACTGAAGCTACAAGTTATCAAAATTAAAGCTTTTTATCTCTTAAAAATAACCCAACAATGCACACGTACAGTATTCTGCAGCCCTAACTTTCTCCTGGGAGTGTGTAACTGTTGTTCACACTGACCTGTGGACTTCTGCTAAGTTAGCACCAATTCATTAATACTAAAAATAGTTTTTAGAATTCCCACGGTGCAGCACGGTCTATTAGAAACATTTCTGTGTGGTAAGGTTGTTTGGTTTCATCCGAGTGCCATTAGAGATGAGCTGTCAAATGTCAGCCGCACAAAAATAACTCCGTAAATCACAAACGTAATTAACTTCATCTCACAAACAATTACAGCAAGCAGCTGTCGATGTTGACCAGAGCTCATCCTCTCTGTTTCCATTTCCTCTGTTGAAACAAACAATCGAATCAGAACAAGAAAAGGCAGAGCTACTCCTTTCTGCAGTCTCATTTGCATCTTTTGTTGTCAGTGCATTGCATACATGTGTAAATACCACTGAACACTTCAGTAAACACAGTCCCGTAGAAACTCAGAGAGACTGGACACCCAACAAAAGAGCTTTTGTTTTAAAGTGTTTGGGATCTGCAAGCTAATCTCGCCACTACTCTCCACCCACGTGTCAGACACTGAGGACAGAGACAAACATGACCTGTGTCTTTAAGGGACGCATGACGTCCACCGATGAGGAGCAAATGTTGTCACAAGGTTGCAGAAGAAGGAATAAAGTTGGATATTCAGTTTAAACTTGAAATTAGCTAGGTTTGCTACAAACTTACCCTGCTGTGTGTGTTCGTGCTAAGCTAGGCTATACATAGGTTATGGTGCTACAGTGAAGGTTTGGCATGTAGTGCACAGAGATGTCAGACTCTGCTTAGCTCCTGGTGGCTTTAAGCTGAGTTAGCTGCTGCTAGAATCTGTAATCAAGCATTTCCATTCGTTAATCAAAGAACAGTACGTGTTCTCTGTAAAACTCCTTCACAGGTTGAATTTCTATATTCTGTAACGTCTCACCAGGTTTCCTTGTTCAGCCAGAGGATCTCTGTGCACCTCCTTCTTCTGGATGCGGTGCTCAACACTGGACTTCAGTGATGCTGGACCCTCTACTGCCCCAGGCTGAAGCTGTAAACATAAATACATTAGGAGTCATTAGCAAACACAAGCCAGTGTTCACAGTCAAGAATAGACTAAGGGTAATAACGTCACCATGACAACAAAGGTGTAAGTGTGTGTTTAATTGTGTGTCCTCACCTTAAGTTTCAGTGCATTTAAGGTTGTTTTGGAGACGCAGCTGAGTGGACCCTCAGTGACCACCTCCAGAGGGTAGAGCAGCCAGTGACCATGAGCCTTCAGGGGACATTTCACCACTAAAGATGTCTGGCTCACCACGCTGGGACCGTTATTCACCAACTGAGACAGAGTTTAACATGTTATACTGTGTCTTCTTTTAGTACACTGTACATTGTGTACTGCACTTTACAAACAAACTCCCTTGCACTGTGATTTTAGTAAAAGGAAACTCAAGTCCTACGTGTGAAATGACATTAGCAATGTTTGACTGTATCAAGCGCGCCAGCACAGCCATCCACGTCATGATAGTCTTGAGAGCTTAATAAAAGAAGCCAACTGGACTGGTTTGTGAAGACGTTTCGCCTCTCTTCAGTTCTAAAACAAGTGGTCCGGTTGTTCAACAGATGTAGCCCGGATAAAAATGATCCGGCTTT